AGCCAAAGATGTTAGAATTGTGTCGATGTCCCAATATTTCTGGACCTGACTGTACATAAACTCTAAGCGCATTAGAATAAATATGTGTTAGATACTTACTCAATCTTCTCATATTTTCTGTTAGTCTGCAAGTAAAGAATAAACATTTAGAGAAGCCTTTTGAAGATGAATGTTTCTGTTTACTGTAGTACATCTAATGCAGACTTGATTCTTAAATGATATGCATTTATACATTCATTTTAGAGCTGTCTTTAAAGGTAAGATAGAAAATCTTTCCAAGACAGGAGTCAAATAAAAATATGGAACAGTAATACATACTGTTGTTGATTACAGAAATACAAACACACACACACGCATAATTGCGAAAGAAACAGAGAAATACATTTGACAAAAGTAGTAGATTTAAAATTGCATTTCCATATAAATCAAATTTAAAATAACAATTAAGAACTACAAGATGTAAAATATAGAATGTAGGCCAATATCAAATTATGATAGAATTACGAAGTCTTTGATAAGCCTCTATTAACACTATCCTGACTGTTACCTATGTATATTGATCCCAGGGATTTTTGTTTATTGCTTTTTATAATAAGAAAGTGGGTCTTCCAATATAATTTACCGTCTAGCACTGAGCGGCTCTTCGGTTTCCACTGTGTTTTCTTCTGGTTGAAATCTGAAGTCTTCAATATATTCCCCAAATTTATCATAAATCCACTTCTGAACTCTTGAACACACCATGTGGCTGCGTTTATCTAATTATCAAAAACACATTACATTTTTAAGCAACTTCCAAAACAGTTAGTTCAAAACTACTGAGAGAAGCAATTACGCTAAAGCACAACCAGAAATCCTTAGATAGCAGGATAATTGGTATTAACAGAATCTATTGCCCTACAACATTCAGGGAACTAAACTTGTCCATTGGCAAAAGGGCTCACCATAACATCTCATACTGGAATGAGTTTCATCCATGTCTGAATGCATTGCTACTAACAATCTTTTCGCTAACCATCTGGAATCACTGAGTCTTAAGTGGAGATGAACTATGCTCAGTTTAGCCTATTCTGAAATGAGGAAGAGCTGCAGCTTACCCTGCAGACCAACAACTGATAGGAAGATGCGCTGCAATCCTGCATCCTGGAATTTTGCCAGTTTATTTCAACGTGATCCTTCTATGACCTCAAACACTGGAGCAAATGGCCTTTCTTCTAAACTCAACAATGTCTTAGGAAATGCATTATGTAAACAAGGAGCAGTGGGTTACGTGACACATTCTTTAATATTGCTCCATTTACACTTCCCATATTAAAAGGTCAGTAGGTTGCTTTTTTCTTAGAAAAGTAACTGTAAAATTCTGGAAAATTGCAGAAGCCTCCTGAAAGATATCTTGTAGGACACTTGTGCAATTTTTCACAATTTTAGAAAGTATCTTTCAGGATACAGTGGGGCAAAAAAGTATTTAGTCAGCCACCAATTGTGCAAGTTCTCCCACTTAAAAAGATGAGAGAGGCCTGTAATTTTCATCATAGGTATACCTCAACTACGAGAGACAAAATGGGGGAAAAAATCCAGGAAATCACATTGTCTGATTTTTAATGGCCAAGTCAATCACCTGAC